TCTACTAAAGTCTTCAAGCTAAACACTTCCAGATCCTTTGAGGATACCTCCTATGACAGGACTGCCAGACCCCTCACCATCCCCACGGACTGTTCTGGAAGTTGTCTAATTTGTCAACGTCTCTCTTTAAATGTGACAGCCACAAATGGACACAATACTACAGATGTGGTTAATTAGAGCAGGGTACGATTAATTTCTGTGACATATGGACACTATTTTATTACTCGAATCTAAATTTGATTTTTTTTTTGCAGCCACATCATGCCACTGGTTCACATTAACCTTTTTCCTCAAAAATTGCCACCATATAAAGTAACCTTCCTTACACATCAATGAATTATGATGCATTTACTACAATAAAATGTCTTTTTGGATAGCTTTGCAGCCTGTTTTAAACCATGTTAACCCAACACTCTGTTATCAATTTGTAACAGTTATCCCTTTTCAAGTCATCCATGGATTTTACAGCAAACATCCTGTATCTTCATCAAAGTCATTCATAAAGATTTTATGAAGAGCATAACCAAGGCAAAGCCTGTGATCCATCACCAGGGGCTACTCCCGAACTCAAACTCAGTAACCCACACACCTGACAGGTGTTGGTTCAGCCAGCCTCACGCTCACAAAGCAATCCTGGTAGTCTATATACCATGTCACACACAAAGCGTCCTAAAGCCTTGGCAAATGCTTCGCTGGAAAGAAGATTCACTTATATTTCAAAACAAAGTGTAAACAATATGCACATATGAAAATTATAGCCATGTAAAAATATACATGCACACCGAACAAAGACTAGAAGGGGGAGGGCATCGATGGAAATACTTGCTCTAGTGTCAGACTGCAGAGATAGCTTTTCTTTGGTACTGTCTTTGCTATAGTTAACATTGTTTTAAAAATTGAAGACACGGAATTTTGCTTAGAGAATTTTGCTTGGAGGCAGTTCCTGTGAAAACAGCTTTAAAAGCATTGAGACTCTCTCTGATCCTACCAACCTGAAAACCCCAATTACAAAAACAGTCACTTGAAAAGACTTGTTGATCCTCAGAAACACAAGTTGCTTTTTTGGAATTTTGCATTGCTGCTTTTGGCTTAATATTTCTGGAAATCAGGGGAATAACAGACTAGAGAGCTTGAATCCTTAAGTTTAGAAAAAGACTGCTGTTTTGCATGTGCGCGTATGTGTCTGTCTATCTGTCATATGTGTCTGTCTCTGCCAGGGAGGTTAGAAAGGATAGAAAGACAAATAAAACCATTATGTTAATATTTCTGTGAAGTTCCAGACTAAAACAGAGCTCCAGTCAAGAATCTAACAGACACATAAACCCGTATCATCTATTCACCTAGAGTCTTTTTTACACTAAGAGTAGAATCAGCAATAGAATTTGCACTTTGGTGTTTAGAACTGAGGTAAGGATAAGTTTTGAGAAAAGAGGTCAGATAAAATAAGGGTAATTAGTTAGCAAAAAAAAAAAAAACAAAGTGGCTAAATATTTTGTAGAAAATGTGACCTATAAATACTGCACTTATTAGAATCCCAAACAATTTGAATATTTGACTGAGAATTTTTTAACATGTCCGGGTTTCTGCACTGCTTCAGCACTTTGGTTAGAGCATTTGCATCAGTGGAAACCAGTGATAGAAACTGAATACGTTATCTTTATCTCTTTGAGGTTGTCTTTCACCAGTTTTTTTCATCAGAGACATGTGAAAATTTCACCTTGCTTAGAAATGTAATTTGTCCACTATACTAGAAGTGAAGCTAAATATATGAAGTAAACCAACAGCTTTTAGATTTATGGCAAACTCTTATAATAAATGGATAAAATGATCAAATACTAAGTCCAGTTAATATTTGGCCACTGAAAATTTTACTTTGCTGAGAAATAAATTTTCCCCACCATGCTAAAAGTAAAGCCAAATGTATATGGTAAATCAACAGGTTCACACATAGATCCATAGCAAATTGTCATTTAAAACAGATAAAATGTCCAACTAGAAAGTCCATTTATTATTTAGCAAATGAAAATTCCACTTTGTTTTGAAATACAATTTTTCCACCATCTTAGAAATGAAGCTAAATACATGAAGTAAATCAGCAACTTCATAAATAAATGGCAAATTGTCAAAAAATAGGTAAAACGTCCACATAGAAAGTCTAGTTATTATGAGACAAGTGAAAACCCCACCTTGTTTTGAAATACAATTTTCCCACTACACTAGAAGTTAAAGACAGGTGGTAAATCCACAGCTTCATATATCCATAGAAAATTCTCATTAAGAAGGATTCTCACTTAATTCTCATTAAAATGTCCAAATACAATGCCCAGTTATTATTTGATAAAATAATGTACGTTAGCAACTGTTTCTGCTTTACATGTAATCTTATGCAAAATGGGTACAAAAGAGTCAACATTGGAAACAAATACCTGAGAAAATCCAAAATTCACTTATGATACTGTCAAAAAAGTGTTTAAAGTTCTTTATTAATTTTTTGGGGGGAGGGGGTGGTTTTTAATGTTTTGTAGTTTTAGATAACACAAAAGTATTATCTAAAGTATTGTCTACTAACCTTGTATTTTGTTTTTATTGTAATATTGTTTTGCTGTTTTAGATAAGAAAGTTTCATCAAAACTACTTATCTACTAATGTTTTTTTCATAGAAAATTCTATTTCTAAGGCAAAGTAAAAATTATTTCATATGTAAAGGAATTAAAAAAAACACACACACAAGGAAATACACCAAAATGATAACCATGATTATGTTAGAATAGTAATATCAGAAAAAATTGTCATTTCTCTGGTTTTAAGTATCTATGTACTAATGTTCATTTAAAATTTTAATTATAAAAAGTAATATTATTTTCTTTTTAAAAAGTCCCTGAAAATGTAGTGTTATTTGACAGTTAAGGCTTTTTGGAAAGAAAATAATGGAGAAAAATTAATTTGATCCCATTTTTAATTTTTAGAAATTATACATATGCAACTCTATAAAAAATATACAGTGGTTATATATATATATATATATATATATATATGCATAGAGAAAGTATGAAAATGTAAACTCCATAATGTTTACTGAGGTTATCTTAGAATGAAGAGGTTACAGGTGATCTTGATTTTCTTCTTGATTTTTTTCCATTTTTTGGAGTTTTTTCTCCTGAATTTTGTACAATAGAAATTATTTTTATTATGATAAAAATAATACTAAAGCTTTATTTTACCAAAAAAAGTCCTGGTTAATATTTTGAAATAAAAAATCAAATTGGTCCACAATCATTCAAACTTTACAAGTCTTGGGATAGATTTTTAAACTTGAGTTTTCCCTACTATCTATACTAGATTTTCATTGCCCTTTTTAGAAAAAAAAAATCTATCAGTCAACAAGTAGGTGAAGTAAGTTTTCTAGATTAAAAAAAAAGCTAAGAATTTGACAGTCCCGCAGTCACCAGAACAGTACTCTGGCAAACATTAGAAATCCTGAAATTATTCTATTTTGCAGAAAAGGGTGCAGACTGAAGATTAAAAGGCACATCTAAAATTTAGAACTGTTCCCCCAACTTCCTGGAAAAATATCTTTTATTCATTCATATATCTAATAGTCAACATTTTATTTCTCATAAAAAGTTAAATCTCAGTAAATGTGCTAGTTTTGTTTATTCCTAGAAAGTTTCGCTTTAAGTGCAATCCCTATCATTTATAATGTATCATTCTTATTTATCTTCTACATATAAAATAATCTGCAGCAATGCTACTGAAGTATGCTGTTTTAGCCTAATGCGAATCACCCATGTTTCAGGAACCTCAATCAGTTGTAGACAATTCGGTTTTCCATTTAACTTAAACTTGTTTTACTCAGATTACCAACAGATTGTCCGTTTTCTCAGCGCTTAACACTTTGAGGCGCTTAAATGGAAATCCGCGTTAAGGCTTTTTTCTTTTTTTTTTTCTTTTCTTGAGCATCCTTCCTCAGTATTTTAAATGAGTCTTGTAACTCACTGCAATTTTCTCTAACGTAAAATACACGTTTATACATAGAATACTTACAAATGTTTGAGGCCAAATCTCGGCAACACGCTTGAAAGATTAAACATGCGATTGCCGTGACTGAGTGTATTCATTCACTCTACAAGATTTACAAAAATCCAACATTGCAGCGAGAGCTAGGTATCTGCGAAAATCTCTCGTAATCACCACCAAAAGGCCGTGGCTGAGAGCCTCCGAAGCCCGCCAAGCACTTTGGAGGCATCCACAGCTGTTTTTAATTGTTTTTTGCGTTCTCTAAATAGTGCACTTGGTGGGGCAAATGGTGCTGTTTGTAGTGTCTCTGGCCTCTAGCCGGGGTTAACCCTGACCTGCACCCCTGTTTAACTCCAGCATTTCATGATTCTGCACCCCTGATCCTGAAAACATGAGAAAAACGAGATTTCCGCCGCGGAGAAATGCGCTTAGTAAGAAGGTGGGGGGGTGAGGGGGAATTAGATGTTTGAAATGCATTTTTGTGTTGTCTCCCGCTCGGGTTCAAGAAAAAAAAAAAAAAGATGTGTTTGTGTAGCGATGGACGCTGCTTGACACCCATCTCCTATGGCTCGCCTCAGGGCCGAGGCCGCAGAGCTCATTCGCGGGGTAACGGGACCCCCAGAAGGAATGGGTAACGACCTCCAGCTCTTAGCTGCAGGGATGCAGAGAGGCCCACCACCAGGTCTAAGATGGGGGTGAGGGCTGGGAATGGAAATTGGAGATGAAATTTCTGCGCTCTCTGGCCAGGGAGGGGCCACCGGAGCGCTGAGAAAAAGAAAAGGCCAGGGGTCAAGCCTGGGAAGCTACACACAGGGCCCGGAAGTGGGGTGCAGGGCATCCTTAAGAAGGGGTGCAATGAGGACCGGGGCAACAATAAGGGATGATGCCCAGAAAATGCACCCGGGTACCCAAAACCTGGGCGGGGGATGGGGAGGCGTCGGCCTGTTGGCCCTGGGACCTCCCGTCGCGCGCGGCCCACTAACCTGTCAGCAAGAAGGTGCCAGTGGTCGCGGGGCTCATCCTGCGTGTCCCCCGACCCTGTCCTGTCCAAGCACAAGGGTCGCCCAGCTCGCACCACCGGGGCAACTGCATTCTTGGCCTGGTTAGGCCGGCCGTCCTCGATTCTCCCCTCCCCTCCCTTTCTTCTTTCTTCCCAGCTTGGCCCGTTCAGCATCAGCATCGTGCACCCCCTCCTTAACCCCGTACTCCCTCTAGCGGC